ATATATATATATATCCCCATATATATATACCATCTATATATACCCCTTTTGGCCCTAGGCTTCAGATGCTGTATGCGTGGGCATGCGTGTTACACTTACCAGTGAGTGTCATAATCTAGTAATACATATATCAAACCTGAAAATATCTGAAGGAAAGAGCTGGTGTGATGGAGTGAGAAGTCCCCTTAGTTTCTGTTTTTTCCCATATGTTTATCTGAAGAAGCAGCTAGGAGGAGAGAAAGGGTACCAGGAATTCTCTTTTTAGGAGGGAGCTGAGGTATGAGTGACACTTGTTTTACAGACAAGAGTGCTGAAGGAAGGACAGAAATAGATGATCCTGCTTTACCACGAGACCCATCATCACAATTTAGTTTCTTTGTTGTTTGATTAGAAGCACAGATATTTTTGACTACACCTACATTGACGCCTTTGGGAAGGGTAAGCAGCTGACGGTGAAGGAGTGCGAGTACCTTATTGGCCACCACGTGACAGAGGAGTTCTATGGAGTCGTGACTTCAAAAGAGGTCTTGCAGCGTATGGTGGGAAATCTCTTAAACCTTGGCAAGCGGTGAGTTGAGGATCATCTGTCCTGTGAGGCCTGTGGAAAAAAGGGCCCAGAGTGTGCTCTCTGTGTATCCAATGCTGCTTCTTCACAGTATTTGAGTGAGGGCTTTAAAAAGATGTCAGTCACCCCAGGGATCTGACATCTTCTGATTTTCAGGGGATCTTGAAAATTCTGTATGTCACGTTGCATTGTCTAGTTGCTTTTAATCACCTGCAGCGGTGTTGTGTAGAAAGAAGAATATTTAGTAGAATCATAGAATGGTTTGGATTGGAAGGGATCTTAAAGATCATCTAGTTCCAATCCCCCTGTCATCAGCAGGGACATCTTCCACTAGATCAGGTTGTTCAAAGCCTCATCCAGCCTGGCCTTGAACACTTCCAGGGAGGGGGCATCCACAACTTCCTTGGGCAACCTAGTAAAACTAGTTCCCCTCAAGAAAATTGACAGATAATTTTTTTTCTTTGTGAAAAGCTGATAGGGACTGTCCACCGTTCCCTTAAGAGCAGAGATCTTTGTTATGATCAGGTAAGCATAAGCCATATGCTCAAAAGAGAAGTTTTAAAGGTACTGTTGGCTTGTAGAAAATCTGCTTTTATTTTCAAATGCCCCTGATAAATCACATTCCCAAGTAGCCATAGACAGAAATCAGAGTGAAAGGATTGCTTTAGGTGTAATTAAACTAGGAGAACAAAAGCAGATTTCAAAAGGAAATGGCTTGGGAGAGTGAATCCTCTACGTAGGATTATTTGACCAAGTAGAATGCCCATGAAGTGGGAGGGTAGAGTCCAGTCATCAGTCGTGTAATGTTCTTCCTTCTGAGCAGGCTGTGGGATGTGATGAGTGACAGACAGTCCTGGAGTCACTCTTATTGAATGAACGTGTCTGTACTTGTAGCATCATTTTTGTTGACTGTCCCTGTACATCAGAGTACTGGGGATAGGAGCTGAAGAGCTAGCCTTACCACTGAGTTTCTTTTTTTACTGGCAGAGAAAGCACTGATCAGTCTTACCAGCTCTTGAGAGACTCATTGGATCTATACCTGGCCATGTATCCAGACAACGTGCAGCATCTAATGCTTCAGGCTAGATTATACTTCCACCTGGGAATCTGGCCAGAAAAGGTACCTCACCACTCAGTTGTATGTTTTCTGATAGGCTAAGCAATATTAACACTGGTCTATTGATTTTTGGACTACGTCAGCTTGCATTACAGTCTGCCACAAGTTGTTTCTGTAATAAATGCAATTGAACGAGTTATCACATTACAGAGAATCAATATCTCCTGTATGAAGCAGGGAAAAGAGGATGATTCTTGCTCACTTGCCCTAGGGGAGGCTTGTGAGCAGCCTCAAGTCTGAGTCATAACTTAAGATTTACTGCCCAAGTCTGACAGTTTATCTTGCAACCAATACTGTGGACTTCAAGCTGTAAGTTATAAGAGCTTTCTGTTTAGTTTATACCTAGATTATGGTAGTGGTGGTAAAACTCTTGCTGGACTCCTGTAAAAGGAAAAATTACCTTATCAGAAAACATGTAGGAAATTATCTTTTATAAACATGATCAAAGCTGTTCTCTGAAACCTTCGCCACAACAATCAGTGACTCTTGTGAAAAAGCAACTTAAAATAGAACCACAAGGACAGGAATATTACCACCTTTAGCCCAGCAGCTTGAGTCTTGCCATCTGATGAACGTGGGAAAGAAGGTGCAGAGACCCACAAGTTGTGAGAAGTTATCATCCATGTCTTTCACTGAATTTGGGGAAGCCACAGGGAGGAAGTAGGTAAAACTCAAAAAGGTGTTATTTCTTTACTGTGTCACTACAACAAGGAGGTGTTCCTTAGTCAAAGCTTCCTGTACTTCTTTAGTGAAGTTCACACACTGGGGCAATGCCTGTGCCATTTCCAAATGGCAGGTTCAGGTGAGGGGGCAGAAGTATTGGCTGGACAGCTGAGCAGAAAGCAAAGCTCTTCCCACAAAATTAACCCAAGCTGGAGAAACTTTTGAAGAACAAACTGTGCTAAGCTTGCTATTTTTTTTCATATAGCAACAAGTTTTAAAGTCACCATGTTAAAAACAGCTCAGACTAAGCAATTGTGTACAGGGGGGGGACACACTGAGCTGAAATGGCAGCTGTGCATAAATAGGAGACAACCAAGTGAAACATTGAAAGATCTTCCTTCTCCTTTCTGACACTCAGCAACGTGCTGGTAAAGTACCAGGGTTTTACATACTTGCATTTTGCTGCCTCTTAGAATGAATAATCCAACCCCATTGCTGAGTTTTACATGTAGTTTCTCTGCACTGTGTTGCCAGATGCAATGAAAATGTACAAATTTGGACTTTATTGCGTCCTCATACGCATCTAGTCGTTCCAGGCTATCAAGTAGGATTATAGCTAGCCAGAGAGAATGCTCTGTGTCTGGCAGAACAGAAGATATTAATAGAGGTCTGCCAGACTGATGGAAAGTGGTACAAAAATCTTAAAAGTCAAGTGGAGCTATCCAGAATGTTGTCCTAAATGTTTGTAAATAACGTTAAATGAAATTGCCAAGAATCTCTGGCAGCTGTGGTCACTGTGCTAGGCTTTCCCCTTTCTGGAGGATTTTTCAGGATTTTCACATTCTTTTTTAAGATGCCAACCAGAGAATTAAAGTGACCAAGAAGCCTGAGTTGTGTTTCTTCTTCTCATACATAATTACTCACCTGCTCTTTTTCTGAATTTATTTTCTTCACCTCTTGGCTGATGTTTATACTCAATAGCTTGAAATTTCTATTCCTCTTCTGCTGCTGCTCTGAACTTAAAGTGACCAAAATTTCCAGTGTGTGATCAAGGAGACAATCCTTTTGTCAAGTGCTAAAGCGTGTCAGATTTTGGGACTGTGGCAGCACTTGAGGTATTTGATGTTGGGACAAATGTATCTGTCTTTTCCCAACCTCTTTAGAAAACAGTTTTGTTGGGAGCAAGGGGAAGAGAAAAGAAAAAGAGAGAGTAAAACCTGCATTGCCTGCCTTTAAAAAAACTTGGCAGCAGGTGATCTGATAGCGTGCCAGGGGGTGTTGGTAGGCTGGTATTCTGGATCTACAGGGTTTGCTGCTTCAAGAACACTTTTAAAGTTAGAGGTCTTTAGTCATCCTGACACAAGCAGGTTCTGTCTCTTGTTCACTGTTTCATGATGTAGCATCACAGAGGTTATTTGCGTTTCCTTCTCTGCTGCTCTGGTTTTCCTCTTCCAGACTCCGACAGACGTGCTGAGGAACTCTTAAACTAAAGTATTTGTTCTCAAGTACAGCAGAAGTCATCTGGAATCACTTCACAGCAGCAGTTAGGGAGACTAGCACATTTCAGAAACCTTGAAATGGTCCCATCTATGCCCTGTGGTCGCAAAATGTGACGCAACTAGCTTGTATGACTTAGTTTGAAGGAGTTATTGTGCTCAACAGTGCCCTTCCTTGGAAGTAGGGAGCTTTACATTTACAAATAGAAAAGGAGAAGACTGTTTGCAATGTCTGCAGGCTAAGCAAGTGTGAAGAACTCCTTGGGAGTGTGTAGCTAGAGTGCAAAGGTTCTCAGTCCTGAGTGGAAAACTCATATGGTGGACCTCTAAGCCTGAGCACTTAGACCCAGCTAACTTGAGCAATGTATCTATATGTATCTGTCAGTGTTGGACTGCTGTAGAAGTGTGTTCTGAATCTGTTTTTGGTTTGGTTGCTGAAGGTTCTGGACATCTTACAGCATATTCAGGCTTTGGACCCATCCCAGCATGGGGCTGTTGGGTACTTAGTTCAACACACCCTGGAGCATATTGAGCGTCGGAAAGAGGAGGTGGGACCTGAAGTGAAGCACCGTTCAGATGAGAAGCACAAGGAGGTCTGCTTTTCCATCGGGCTGATTATGAAACACAAGAGGTGAGCTCTTCAAAGGCTTCCCTGCATTAGCAGTCTGCACTGTAACAAGGAGTGCAGAAGTGTTTGTTCTGACAGTAATGAGATGTGGTTTCTATCTGCCAAGGAGGTACTTGGCATGGAAAATGCCAGGCACGTGCCTCTGTGCCATGTACCTCGTAGGAAAATGGGAGCAGCTCTGTCTGTCCTTTGAGAGAGCAAGTGCGTTCACTGCTGTTTGCTTGCAGAGAGAAGTTTGTGAGGTGACTTGTCTGAGTCATCATATACCACACAGGTAAAATTGCCGCAGCCCAGAGCTCTCAAAAAAAAAAAACCCCATCAGTAATCAGTTAATGAGAGACTGTGGAACAGATTTGATTTCAAAAGAGACTGTAAGATTCCAAAGACAGCTTATGGATCTTTCCCTGTGCTATTATTACCCTCTCTTCCTGCATTGCACAGAGGCTTTGTGTTCCTGTCTGTGCTGTTCTGCCAGAGTGACATGCCAGCACTGTGTTTCTTCAGCCTCTCCTCTGACTCAACAAGACATCTGGAGCATATTTTAAGGGTATCAGCAGTGACAGTTATAATCCCTCAGGATTAATCATGTAAATATTCAGAAAATAATGATGCCTTTGTTTCTGGGAGTTCAGTATTGGGAATACTGTGTCTGTGTGATGGACACAGGAGTAACTGCACAACACAGTAGGATGACTTGATTCCCTGTTTATTTCCTGTTCTCCCAGTTGCTTACTTCTAGTCTCTTTCCCATTCTCTTTTCTTGCTCACATTTGGTTTTCCTTTGTCCTCAACTGTTTGTTCCTGTCTGTTTATCCAGTCACTCCTACTCATTTCCCCCCACCTCAAAATACACACACAATCTTTTTGAATTTATTTTTTTTTTCCCCTCTTGTTCCTCTCCTCCTTGTGCCAACTCACAGGAGGTCCCTATCCTGTTGTGCTATATTAATCTGGAGGAAAAAGAGCTCTCTCTGGAGTTTTTACAGTCTTTTGCAGTCTTTGGTGTGTGATTTTTTTTCAATAGATATGGCTATAACTGCGTGATTTATGGCTGGGATCCCGCCTGCATGATGGGGCACGAATGGATCCGGAATATGAACGTCCACAGCCTTCCACATGGCCCCCACCAGCCTTTCTACAATGTGCTAGTGGAAGATGGCTCTTGCAGATATGCTGCTCAAGGTGAGCAGGAGTCTCCTGTGTTTGCTATCTGTTTAGAAGTACATTGGGAGAAAGGGATGCTTGAGTGATTAACTCTTTTAAGTATGAAACATGAACTGTTAATTAAAGTTGAGGTAGGAAGGACAATGATCTTGAATCATGGCCTGCTTTGTTTCCTTTCCATGAAATCAGTGCTGCTAGGAGTGAACATTAAGGACCACTCTTGCCCAAGAAGTGTGTTTTGGACGTGTGATTGGTTTTATGGTATAAACAATGATTGAAAGAAGTAATTCAACTTTTGCTGAATTCTGAAGTTCTGTCAGCAGCTCTTGCTCTCTGAAATTACAGCTGTGCTTTGGCCAGGACCTCAAAATAGGATCTAGTGAGGGAGCACGCAGGCTTTGCTTCTCAGGGCCTGGTTCTGAGCAGCTGTCATCAAGAGCCTGTGTGTGCCAAGATCCCAGAGAACACAGGTAACGTGGCTTTTAGTGCCACCTCGAATAAAAATGGGACAAAAATGAATGTCTCTTTACAAGTGCAAAGTGGTGTAGAAATCTTTGTCACTCATGCTTTACAAGACATACCAGAAGAAAAGAAATATTTCTCTGATGGTCAGGATATGAGGTTAGGATACAGGACAAAGTGTCAGACTGAGGTTCAAAAGAAGAAAACCAGATCTGTAACTCTGTACCTTGTAAACAGTGTGTTTCTTTGCCTCGTGTTTGTTCTTCTCCCTGTGATACGGAGACATCCCATCCATCTGGCAGGGCAGCTGCACAGCTTGATTTTATTTTGCTAAGAGAAGATGAGGAAGCTGCTGGAGAGGAAATTGTGAACAAAATACAGTTCAGCTCTTTCACGAGGGAATGCTCCTTGGCATGTCCTGGTGCCATACATGTGAGCAGCAGGTGGTTTTACAGGAGGGGACACTCCTACCTTTGTAGGTTTAAAATGCAGCTGTGTTTCACCGTCCTAAGAGTTAATTTATGTTCATTAGTCCAAAAAGATGAAGTGGGGACTGGAAATATTGCAGCTCAGCCTTGTGGCTTATATTAGGCAGTACTTGGCCTCTCAGAGTCTTAAAAAAACAAGGATTCTTGTGTGCTGTGGGTTGGTATTAAAATATGCATCTCAGTGAAAACTAATCAGATAATTGTGCTTCTGGGGCTGAGTCATCTCTTACATCTTTTGTCTTATTGTTTATAAACAAGTATAATGTTGGCTGGTTCCAGAACACGGTGTATTTTAGCCAAAATGTAGGTTGATATTGTTGTCTCTGTGGCATCCAAATGTTTTGATATTGTGAGGGAAAACTGAAGGGTTTGTCCTTGCTTGCTGAAATCTTGCTTCATTACTATTGAGTATCCCCTCTAAAATACATCCTCAGATCATTTGGGAAGGGACTACTCTAATTTACTGACCTGACTTTGGGGAGGGGATGTTTGTTTTTTACTGAAAGAATCTTAAACAAATCTGCATGTAGAATTTTAAGGCCAGGCTGGATGAGGCTTTGAGCAACCTGGTCTAGTGGAAGGTGTCCCTGCTGCTGGCAGGGGGGTTGGAACTGGATGAGCTTTAAGGTCCCTTCCAATCCAAACCATTCTATGATTCTATGATTTTATCTAATAAGCTCGGAAATAACACCAAGCTTCATACAGGTACTTGTACCTCAGTTTGAGTCCTTCCTGTTAATTTGCAGGTTGAGCTGTAGCTAATTCCAGAACACCTGTTTCATCCAGCGAGTTTGGTATCTACTTGTCTGCTCTTGTCTTTCTTTTGTTTGCTTTGTAGCAGCTCAGACCAGATATCTGTGGTTCAAAACTGCTAGTCAGCATGTTTCTCAGGCTCCCCACCTAGTGCTGAACTCGCTTCTCTCGGTCTCTTCCCCCCCTGCCAGTTTCTGTTTCGTCACTGTGCTTTTCCCTTTGCTTCTGCAGAGCGTTTGGGAGTGTAAATTGTTTTCTGCAGTGGTGCAATGTACAAAAAAAGGTACTTTGCAAGCCTGTAGGACTGCACCAGCCTGCTGAGGTGTAGAAAGCCCTTTTGCTTTTGGCTACCCATGCTGACATACAGCAGCTTCAAAGAGTCTGTGTGGATTAATATGACTTCAGTGTGAGCTCTGTAGTGAACTGAAGAGTTTTAGAGACAGATGAATTACTCCTGAATGACGTTCTCTGCATCTCATGTTATTCCCACCCTGCCTTGCAGATAAGTCAAGAATTTGGGACTTAGGCAGCTTTGGTTTCTACCTATATATCTGGCACTGTGCTGGGGAAAAAAATGACATCATTTGGGGACTGCTGCAGGGCACCTACGCATGGGATTGACTGCTGGGCTGCCCCCCCCCTCACAGTGCTTTATATAAATACTGCAGGAGCAAAGGGGCCTGCAGCTCGGGTCACTTTGCATTTTAATGCCAGTGCCTCTGTGTTGTTGAAGTGTTGTGCTTAATCAGGTTATAATTTAGTACACAGGAGGAAATGGGGTGCACTGGGAAAGGATCAATGTGCTCTTCTTGGGGACTTTCTCTTTAATGTGGGAAGTTTGGATTTAGAAGAGTTGTATGACTTAGTTTGAAGGAGTTACTGTACTCAGCAGTGCCCTTCCTCGGAAGGAGGGAGCTTTACATTTACAAATAGAAAAGGAGAAGAGTGTTTGCAATGTCTGCAGGCTTAGCAAGTGTAAGATGTGCCTTCAAACCAGGCTGGTGACTTGATGTGATTGAAGCACAGGCTGGTGACTTGAAGCAGGAAAGCACTCGGCTCCTCTACCAGAACAACCTTGTGCAGTTGGCCTCATCTTGGAGCGTGTGAGAAGGATTCCTCCTGGAACTTCATCTCCCATGGGACTGGAGGGATTGGCACTCAGTGCCACAGCTTCTCCCTGTGCTTACAACCAAGAGCTGTGACCAACAGGGTGGGAGCAGGTCAGCATCCTGCTGCTCTAACATGATGTTAGACAATGTGGTCTCAGGCATAAAATAGTTCTCATGCCACTAGGAGATGGGGTCAGCATCACTTAGGAGATGAATCCCAGAATTGCTTGGGTTGGAAAAGCCCTTTAAGCTCATTGAGTCCAACCACGAACCCAACACTGACAAGTCCCCTATGACTAACCCATGTCCCTCAGCACTGTGTCTACACGACTCTTCAATCCCTCCAGGGATGGGGACTCCACCACTGCCCTGGGCAACCCCTTCCAATGCCTCAGAACCCTTTCAGCAAAGAAATTCTTCCTCACATCCCATCTCAACTGCCCTGGGCACAACTTGAGGCCATTTCTTCTCATCCTGTCCCTTGTTCCTTGGTTGAACAGACCCACCCCCACCTCTCTCCACCCTCCTTTCAGGGAGTTGGAGAGAGCAAGGTCTCCTCTGAGCCTCATTTTCAGTGAGATGAGGCTCTGTGAGCAGTCATACTGACATACTCAGTGCATATTTTCCTGGATTAGGGTTGGTTTTGTATTGGTTTTTTTTCTTTATAGCATCAGGAGGTGTTTCTAGAGACAGAAACAAGACTTGAGAGGGACTCAGCATTTATTGCCTTGTAGCCATTTCACGTGATGGTAACTGATTCTTTCCTTCCTAACAGAGAACCTGGAATATAACACTGAGCCTCGGGAGATCCCTCACCCTGACATTGGCCGCTATTTTTCAGAGTTTACCGGCGTTCACTACATAGCAAATACTGAGCTAGAAATTCGGTACCCGGAGGATTTGGAGCTGACACGTGCCACAGTTCAGAAGATCTACAGTTCAGGCAAGGAGTGAGTGCAGAAGGCGTCGTGGGGACAGAAGCAGCTGGAGTGTAGCTTTACCTTCTTTGCAAAACTTGCGTGGAAGGCAAGTTTGGTGACAATCCTTTGGCTTTAATGCATTGAAAACTGCATTGAACTTTGTAACTGGTGCTAGAGCATCTTTCTGTTGCCTGCCTGCCCATTCTGGCCCAAAGGCACAGGGGAGACATTGGTAGTTGAGGCCAAGCATAAGGATCTTGCAGGGACAGTCGTGCTAGGAGCTGCGTTGTCCTTTGGAAGGATCTGTGGATACTACTTGTTCTGTGATTGTCTTGCCTAGAAGGTCAACGCAGTTTTTGCTGTGGAATATGGAAGAACAACCTCTTCCAGAGAAGGAAGTTTCTTGTCCTTGCAGTGTTGTGGGTATTTTGTTTGGTGGGGGTTTTTTTGTTATTTTTTTTATGTGTATCTCATGCAGGTGATAGTTTTTTAAAGTCTGTTATGTTTCACTGTTGTCTTCTCCAGTCTGAATTTTTGATCAGTTTTTGCTTCACCTCTATAGTCTGGTCCTTCACTGAGCTACTGTTCCAATTCTGAGTATCCTTATGGGCCTGGGAAAGAGCCCCAGCAACAAAACCAGAAGCAGGTAGGCTTCAAGGGATGGCAAGCACAGTGGTGGCACTGAGGTCCAGTTGGCCACCTTGCTGATGATACAGACTCTCCTAATGCAGAAGATGAGCATCTCGCCCTTTTTCATGCCTGCTACACACACCCAGTCCATGTTCTTACCTTGTTTTTTGGTCTGCTCATCGTGTATATCCAAGGCAGGATCTGCAGCACAGCTGTGAGTGCTTCTAGGATGATTTTGAACCTCGTGGCACTGTTTCATGGAAGCCTTGAGATCGGTGCCAGAATGACTTTGATGTACAAGGAGCTTCCTCTCCCTGCCGTCTCCAGTCTACAGGTATTTATGCAATACAGTGGGATTGGGACTGGAAACCAGCCAACCCTGGAGTCAGCCAAAATGTGTGTGAAAGAGAAATGTTAATTCCTGCAGCTTGAGGCCTTCTTCCTTTTTGCCAAAAGAGAATGGATTTTGCAGGAGCACATACTCTGCTGCCCAGAAGGGCAAAGCTTTACCAGCTCAAGGCATGTGAATTTCAACGTGACTCAAAGGCCCAGACAAAACCACTGCAGAAGGGGTTTTCCTCTGGGTTGAGGTATTATGGGGTGCTGTGCCACAGTGTTTGTGCATACAGAGTCTGCATATCTTCGTGGTTTCTGAAGCAACGTCCATAGACTCGTGTCTCCTGTCACTCTCCAGTTGCAATACAGTAGTTATAGCAGAGATGAGAATTAGGTTCTGTGCCCTGTAGAGTTAGGTGGATGCTCTTAGTCTATTATAGCACTTCAGGTATCTCCACGTGAAATCCCACAGCCCTCCTCTTAAAAGAATGCTTGACCTGCATGCCATCCTATTGAAATACTGAGCACTGGTCTAATATGAGAAATAAATACTGAAAGCCCATCACTTTTGCCAGCGGAGTGGTGGTGGTGGTGGTCTGCAAGTATCTTGCTTTAGGTTTAGATGAGATATTAGGAAGAAATTCTTTCTTGTGAGGGTGGTGAGCCAGTGTCCCAGGTTGGCCAGAGAAGCTGTGGCTGCTCCTCCCTGGAAGTGTTGAAGGCCAGGTTGGATGAGGCTTTGAGCAACCTGGTCTAGTGGAAGGTGTCCCTGCTGCTGGCAGGGGGGTTGGGACTGGATGAGCTTTAAGGTCCCTTCCAACCCAAACCAGTCTGGGATTCTGTGATTCTATGCTTTAGGAAGAACAGCCCCATGTGGTTAGTGCTGAGGAACGGTGAAGGTGCTGTACTCCAAGTGGAAATATTATCTTTGAAGAAGTCTGTGCTGAAATAAATTCAGAGGGAGGGAAGGAGGAAGGGACTGAAGATCTTCTGCAGAAGCAGAATGCATCCTACTGAAAACAGAGCAGGGAAATCATTAGGCAAAATCTTAAAATCCATCTCTTGTTTTTGAAGGTTGGTGTAGACCCCAACCCTTTTTTGAGGATTGAAAGCAGATCCCAAAAGATTCCTGGCAGGGATGCAAGGTTGAGAATGGGACTGTGGAGTCACAAGGCTGATGCTGGTAGCTGAGAACAGACATGCAGGAGCAGGGCTTGGGTTCCCCATTCCCAGCCTCAGCTTCACTGGCTCTGCAACAGCTTAGATATCAGTGGTGCTTTGTGCTCCCCTCTGCCAAACAAGCAGTCTGGTCACACCTCACCCCTCTTGAGTGCACCAGGAGAATTGCCACATGCTGAGCTCGTAGGAGTCCTTGGCAAAAGGTGCTACCTGAATGCCACATAGAATTGTGCCATAAAAAACCCACAGGAGTCAACAGAAAGCTGCCCAGAGTTTCTCTGAAAACTGGTGCTGGACAATGCAAATCTAAACCACTTGAAAACACACTGTGTACCTTGAGATGGAGACCCCAGAGTAGCTGGCAGAGCCCATTATACCCATTATATCCTGAGGTCCCTTCCTGGGGTCACCCTATGTTTATACTCTGAAAAGAGTCTGGGCAAGGAGAAGGCGTGAGAGCTGCTCTTCACAGGGTTCACCCACACTTCCTCCACCCACAGACCCTTAACCATTTCCGGTTTTGTGGGGTGTAAAAGGGGAAGCTTTCTGCTGGAAAGGAGCTCTGTGGAAAAGGACCTGGGAGTGCTGGTGGGCAGCAGATGGCCATGAGCCAGCAGTGTGCCCTGTGGCCAGTAAGCCAACAGTGTCCTGGGGGGCATTAAAAAGAGTGTGGCCAGCAGGTCGAGGGAGGTTCTCCTCCCCCTCTACTCTGCCCTGGTGAGGCCACATCTGGAGTGTTGTGTCCAGTTCTGGGCTCCTCAGTTCCAGAGGGACAGGGATCTTCTGGAGAGAGTCCAGCAGAGGCCACAAAGATGATGAGGGGCCTGGAGCATCTCCCGTGTGAGGAGAGGCTGAGAGAGCTGGGACTGTTCACCTGGAGAAGAGCAGAGCCAGAGCCCTGGGACAGGCTGCCCAGAGAGGGTGTGGAGGCTCCATCTCTGGAGATGTTCAAACCCACCTGGACACTTTCCTGGGGTAGGGAACCTGCTTTGGCAGGGGGGTTGGACTGGATGATCTCCTCAGGTCCCTTCCAACCCCACCACTCTGGGATTCTGTTACTGTGCAGTAGGGACAGATGTACTGCAAGTGACTTATGTACACAAGGCAGCCCAGCCAGCCCTGTAACTACAACCTTCCATCCCTTCAGGAAGGATTTTGCAGAGAAGCTGTCCTCAGGCAGGTCTGCCTATCTGCCTTGGTGCACAGACCGTGTTGGTGTGTGGTTATGAGGGTGTTTTTGTCATCCAGGAGCACTGCACATCATCAGCACAGGGTCCAGGTCTGATTTTGGAACTTCAGACAAAACCAAAGGCAAGAGTGTGTAAAGGCTCTTTGGCCATGAGGAAAAGGTTCTTGAGGCAGAGGGTGGTGGAGCACTGGAACAGGCTCCCCAGGGAGGTGCTCATGGCACCAAACCTGACAAGATTCCAGCAGCCAAGGGTGCCCAGGACAACCCAGGGTGCCCAGGAGAGCATGTGACATGGACATGCTCCTTCCCTCCTTCCATCATCTGCTGCTGCTGCCTCGGGGTAGGCTGTGTTGCATGTTACAGGTTGAATCTTTGCTCTTAGTGAAGAGGAATTCCCACCTAAGGATTTGTAGCTGGGGGAGACCTCAGCCTGAGTGCCCAGGTAGCCAGGGAACACTGAAAAATTCCACAAGGATATCTGTATCCCTGCTTGAGCAACCTCCTGAAACGGACATCACTTCCCACAGGCTGCGTGTCCCAGGTCCAGCACAGCCAGGAAACACCTCTCTGGGTGGATGGAGGTCACATTAGGTGTCTGCCTGCACATCAGGTGGCTCTTCTGTCCCCCTCCCCTTCTGGCTGCACAGGATCTTTGCAGTCTCTGTCTCCCCAAGAAGACAGCACTGGATCCCAAACGTTCCCTGTGTCTGTGAGTGATGTCTGGGTCCGCGTGCACATATGTATTTTAAAGATTATACATATTATGCTTATACATAACGATTTGTCCTGTTGTGTCTGTGCAGAGTTCACTTGGGAAAAGGGATGTTTTCCTTTCTGGAGAAGGTGGAATTACCGCCCTTCTCTACCTGACTTCACTCACCTGCCACCTCACCGAGCATATGGACCAAAGTCCTCTGGTCCTGAGTTCCCCAGGGGCAGAGAGGTGGGTTTCCTGCAGCTGATAGTGTCTTCTCCCTTTTATTCCCCATGTGTCATCAGCCATCTGTGCTGGGGACAGAACAGCCAGGGTGTTGTCACGGGAAAATGGCTTTTTGGAGGATGAAGGAAAAAAATACAAGGAGTGGGGGGAAGAGGAGGCTGGGAGGGGGCAGGAGGCTGGTAGTCGTTGCTGTCTGGAGCGTTAGAGGGGCTCGGAGAACGGAGCAGCAGCCACGGGCTGGTTGTGAGTGATGCCACCAGGTAGGTGACAAAGGTAGTGGATGTCCCTGAGCAGGGAGGGTGGGCTGTGGACAGCAGCCTCTTTGGGGAGGTTTGTCCTCCCTTCCAGGACCATCTCTTGATGTGCTGCTGCTTGTGAGGGGCTGAGGAGCTGCTCAGGGCCCTCCACCAGCAAGGAGAAGGGACAGCTAATGGTGCAGATTTCTCTTGGGAAGCCCTTCCACCCCCTCTGCAGCCATCCCACCACACAGGGCCAGTGGGAACATGCTGCAGCATTCCCTGACAGTCCCCAGAGCCAAAGGGACAAGTCCCCCAGAGCCTCTGTGGCAGTTTGTCACCAACCTTTGCAGGAAAAATGGAAACCCCAAGACCCTACAGACCAGCCAGCCCCGAGAGGTGCATCTTCTCGCTGGAGGGCGAGGCGAGGGGAGGGCTGATTTGGGCTGAAGAAGGGACCTTGGGGACCTTCTGGTCCCTTCCAGGCCACCTTCCCATTCACACAGATTGCTCAGGGTATTGTCCTGAGTTGTTTTGAGCATCTCCAAGGGATGTCACACCTGCCTGGCTGGTGGCTCTTCCCCAGCATGAGGACACAGGGACTGCCTGCGAGGACAGAGTGGGGCATGTGTTACCCCTCTCTCCTACCCTCCTGATTTCGG